ATCTATACCTTTACCTGTTTCTTCTATCTATACCTTTACCTGTTTTCTTCTATCTATACCTTTACCTGTTTTCATGATGATTTCCATGGAATGTTTTACTTGTATGTAGAGTTTCATGATGATTTCCATGGAATGTTTTACTTGTATGTAGAGTTTCGTGATGATTTCCATGGAATGTTTTACTTGTATGTAGAGTTTCGTGATGATTTCCTAAATCGATGAAATATTTCCAGTTGCAGAGTCTTCACTTACTTTAAACGTGGACAGTTTAGTTATGTATTTAATATCTCTGAGGAATATGATAAACTATTTCCGTCTGAAAATGTGTTTTAAAATGTTTGTCAGTTGAAAAGTTCAAGTTGGAATTCGACTTGACTTGGATCTGCGAAGATTAAATGAAACAAACAAAAAAATGAATAAAGTTTTACCGCACGGTAGTCTGACATCGTTCAGAGCTGGGATATCGTGACTAATTGCTCCTAGTGGCCACGAGATATCTGGCGATTCGGGAAATGCATAGCTAAAATAGTAAGATAGTGGATAGAGAGATTCTTCTGCAGCCCAGCCTCTGGTAGCGTCGAGGGTGAACTTGGTGAAAAGTGCAACCCCACTGGTTGGTGTAACCTGCAGAAGTCAAATAAAACGGATCGTTAATATTGTGATCAGTCCCTACTATACCATATAACTGATAAAAAAAACTAGATCTATCATCTAAATTTTGTTAGTTCGTGCAAAACTCCGCCTTTCAAACAAAATCTGGATGGTCACTCCATGCTTTACTCCAAAAACAAACAAAACACGAACTCTTAACAACTGTTAAAATAGTGGATCAGCAGTAAGTCTTTAGGATTATAGCGCTAAAATTTGTGTTTCGATACCCGTAGTGAGTACAGAACAGATAGACTATTGTGTAGCTTTGTGCTTAAGAACAAACAAGCAAAGAAACAAACAGTACTAATAATGAGACTGACTGTGATATTTATTTAATATTGTATACATACTAAATTCCCAAACTGTTCTAAGCCTAAAAATCACCGATCCAATTTTTATTCAACCTTAACGATGATTTTAGTCGAGACTGGTTGCAAGAGTGTTTTGTTTAGCCTGTCGTTTATACACTATAGGCTATCTGTGTTCAGCCCACTGCGGATATCGAAATCCGATTTTGTAGCATTATAAGCCCTCGGACTTACCTCTGAACCATTGTGGGGAGGGACATTTCCTCTTTGTTTTTGACTTCGTTAATTTTTGTTCTCCCAAACTTCATTCTCCATTGGTGTAATTACAATGAAACGAACAGGCGCAAGGTATTTTAAGAAACAGCAACTTACTTACATGTAAAAGACCCGGACGAGGCACTTTACGCGTGGTGATCTCGGTGTGTACATTTGTGAACGTGATGAAACCATACACATAGAGCGAGTCAGGTACTAAACACCGAGGAGGCAACCATAAAGATACTTCGATTATGTCATCAGTTTTGAGAAAATAAGATGGAATATATGTATAACACGACTTTAAACGTTTCACTGTATAAAGAAAAATCAATGGAACAGTTTAACGTATAATCTAAACTTCGAAAAGGTTAGTTTAACAATTTGTGAAAACTAAAAACTGTCAAATATTAACGACCCAAGTTTTATCATTATTACAACTACACACACTTCTTTAAAGGTTAATTGTTCATTTTCACATAAGGTAATTCCGTCCTTTTTCAAACTACAGGCAACGTAGTGATTAGAGTTATGTGTATTTACACACACACAAGGATATATTCGGGATTTAGCTGGTTTTATCTCTCCAATGACAAACTGTTAACAACACAGAACTTATCTTTTTTGTAAGAACCTAAGATTTGAAATTATAGAAAGACGTTTTCTCACCTAAAATGATATAGAGAAAAGAAGTTAAGTCGCTGGTTTCCAGTCGTATTTTTTGTAGCTCAAGGGGATTAATTTCTTTTCTGAATTTACCTTTTGTAACTGGTGTTCGAATCTTGTCATCTGGAAAAATACTGACCATCACAGACACCATATCTTGTCTACCTCCCTTGAAGACCAACAAGGTAAAGGTATAGCTGGAAGAAAACAGGTAAAAGCTATAGATAGAAGAAAATAGGTAAAGGGTATAGATAGAAGAAAACAGGTAAAAGCTATAGCTGGAAGAAACTCTACATACAAGTAAAACATTCCATGGAAATCATCACGAAACTCTACATACAAGTGAAACATTCCATGGAAATCATCACGAAACTCTACATACAAGTAAAACATTCCATGGAAATCATTAAGGAGAGAACATTCCATGTATTAACTATAAAAATTAAGGAGAGAACATTCCATGTATTAACTATAAAAATTAAGGAGAGAAAGCCTTCCATGTATTTAACTATAAAAATTAAAGAAAGAACTATTCCTTGTATTAACTATAAAAATTAAAGAAAGAACATTCCTTGTATTAACTATAAAAATTAAAGAAAGAACATTCCTTGTATTAACTATAAAAATTAAGGAGAGAACATTTTATGTATTAACTATAGAAATTAAGGAGAGAACATTCCATGTATTAACTATAAAAATTAAAGAAAGAACATTCCTTGTATTAACTATAAAAATTAAGGAGAGAACATTTTATGTATTAACTATAGAAATTAAGGAGAGAACATTCCATGTATTAACTATAAAAATTAAGGAGAGAACATTCCATGTATTAACTATAAAAATTAAGGAGAGAACATTCCATG